CTGAATTTGTCCAAAAAAAATACTGTCATATTAGATTTTTGTTGCAAAAAAAAAAAAAGTGTTGCATGCCCCAATGAACGCAACCCTGTTGAGGTGAAGAAAGCCTCTTTAGGTTACTGGTGGGGTACTTAAGGTGAGCAAAACCATGCAACCTACCTAAAAACATGACACACACACTTAATGGTTTCCACACTCTGCTATGTTTCAGCTGGACCAGCTGGTGGTGGATGCAGCCAAGGAGAAGAGGGACATGGAGCAGAAACACTCCACCATTCAACAGAAGGTAACACACTCCCCCTCCCTCCCTGTCCCTAGCCTTGGAGAGCTCTATGAGCCTCTGCACTGGTCTAAAGCGGTGATGTGATGGGAGTGGATCCCTCAGCCGTTTCTTATTGTACGCCCTGAAACTCCAATATACCCCCCAGTTACTCCACCACTTTTGCCCTTACTCAATCCAATGCATACAGACATAGAAAAACAATCTATTCTATTTACATTTACATTTTAGTCATTTAGCAGACGCTCTTATCCAGAGCCACTTACAGTTAGTGAGTGCATACTTATTATTATTATTATTATTATTATTATTATTATTATTATTATATATTTTTTTATACTGGCCCCCCGTGGGAATCGAACCCACAACCCTGGCATTGCAAACGCCATGCTCTACCAACTGAGCTACATCCCTGCCGGCCATTCCCTCTCCTACCCTGGACGACGCTGGGCCGGCTACGACAGAGCCTGGATTCGAACCAGGATCTCTAGTGGCACAGCTAGCACTGCGATGCAGTGCTTTAGACCACTGCGCCACTGTATACAGTATATTGTTATGAATTAAGTCATTATTAATGACTATCTATGATTTAATTTGGTCCCCCCCCCCCCCCCTTAGCCAATCATTTGTGTACCTACCCACTCACACTAATGCACACACGATCATTCTATTGAGCTACAGTTTATATTTCCATGCATACAGTATGTATTGTGATTTAAGGATTTCATAAATGGCGACACTTGATGGTTAATTTGGTTGCGGAACACTCGAAGACTAGAGGAGTTATTGGGCAGGCTTGGGTAGCTCAGTTGGTAGAGCATGGCGCTTGCAACGCCAGGGTTGTGCGTTCGATTCCCACGGGGGGCCAGTATGAATAAAAAAATGTATGCACTCACTACCTGTAAGTGGCTCTGGACAAGAGTGTCTGCTAAATGACTAAAATGTAAATGTAAAATGTAATGGGATCTCACAGGCTGTGTTCTAAATGGCACCGTATTCCCTATGGGTCCTGGTCAAAAGTAGTGCACTAGATAGGGAACAGGGTGCCGTTTGGGACGCAGCCTTAGGGTGATCTCATGCAGCCGTCACGGACACAGTCACACACCATGCATTATTCAAGTGGGTCGGAAGCTCCGGGGCTCACTTACCAAACAACACGGATGCATTTCACCGCCGTCATGTCACCCATCACAGCCCTCAAATGCCACGGTGTTGGGTGGTAGATGTCCTCTGTAGCTCAGCTGGTAGAGCACGGCGCTTGTAACGCCAAGGTAGTGGGTTCGATCCCCGGGACCACCCATACACAAAAATGTATGCACGCATGACTGTAAGTCGCTTTGGATAAAAGCGTCTGCTAAATGGCTTATTATTATTATTATTATTATTATTATTATTATTATTATTATTATTATTATGTCAACTAGGCCTAAGTCGCCAACTAAATTAAAATGTGTGCATGCAGGGCTCCCTTGCGAAAGAGACCTTGGTCTCAATGGAACTCCCTGTTAAATAAAGGTAAAATAAATCAAATTCCTTTTGTATTGGTAGGTAATGTAAGTCCAAGACACTCGGGACAAGACTAACTGAAACCTGTTTTTGTGCATGGGTGAGTTTGGTGTGTGTCTGAGTCTGTCTGGCCTCTTATAGCGCGTCAAGCAGTCTGTCTTCATGAGTGTGTCTGTCTGGCCTCTTATAGCACGTCAGGCAGTCTGTCTTCATGAGTGTGTCTGTCTGGCCTCTTATAGCGCGTCAGGCAGTCTGTCTTCATGAGTGTGTCTGTCTGGCCTCTTATAGCACGTCAGGCAGTCTGTCTTCATGAGTGTGTCTGTCTGGCCTCTTATAGCGCGTCAGGCAGTCTGTCTTCATGAGTGTGTCTGTCTGGCCTCTTATAGCGCGTCAGGCAGTCTGTCTTCATGAGTGTGTCTGTCTGGCCTCTTATAGTGCGTCAGGCAGTCTGTCTTCATGAGTGTGTCTGTCTGGCCTCTTATAGCACGTCAGGCAGTCTGTCTTCATGAGTGTGTCTGTCTGGCCTCTTATAGCGCGTCAGGCAGTCTGTCTTCATGAGTGTGTCTGTCTGGCCTCTTATAGCACGTCAGGCAGTCTGTCTTCATGAGTGTGTCTGTCTGGCCTCTTATAGCGCGTCAGGCAGTCTGTCTTCATGAGTGTGTCTGTCTGGCCTCTTATAGCGTGTCAGGCAGTCTGTCTTCATGAGTGTGTCTGTCTGGCCTCTTATAGCGCGTCAGGCAGTCTGTCTTCATGAGTGTGTCTGTCTGGCCTCTTATAGCGCGTCAGGCAGTCTGTCTTCATGAGTGTGTCTGTCTGGCCTCTTATAGCGCGTCAGGCAGTCTGTCTTCATGAGTGTGTCTGTCTGGCCTCTTATCTTATAGCGCGTCAGGCAGTCTGTCTTCATGAGTGTGTCTGTCTGGCCTCTTATAGCGCGTCAGGCAGTCTGTCTTCATGAGTGTGTCTGTCTGGCCTCTTATAGCGCGTCAGGCAGTCTGTCTTCATGAGTGTGTCTGTCTGGCCTCTTATAGCGCGTCAGGCAGTCTGTCTTCATGAGTGTGTCTGTCTGGCCTCTTATAGCGCGTCAGGCAGTCTGTCTTCATGAGTGTGTCTGTCTGGCCTCTTATAGCGCGTCAGGCAGTCTGTCTTCATGAGTGTGTCTGTCTGGCCTCTTATAGCGCGTCAGGCAGTCTGTCTTCATGAGTGTGTCTGTCTGGCCTCTTATAGCGCGTCAGGCAGTCTGTCTTCATGAGTGTGTCTGTCTGGCCTCTTATAGCGTGTCAGGCAGTCTGTCTTCATGAGTGTGTCTGTCTGGCCTCTTATAGCGCGTCAGGCAGTCTGTCTTCATGAGTGTGTCTGTCTGGCCTCTTATAGCGCGTCAGGCAGTCTGTCTTCATGAGTGTCTGTCTGGCCTCTTATAGCGCGTCAGGCAGTCTGTCTTCATGAGTGTCTGTCTGGCCTCTTATAGCGCGTCAGGCAGTCTGTCTTCATGAGTGTGTCTGTCTGGCCTCTTATAGTGCGTCAGGCAGTCTGTCTTCATGAGTGTCTGTCTGGCCTCTTATAGCGCGTCAGGCAGTCTGTCTTCATGGAAATATCTTTCTCGCTCCATTTTTTTCCTACTGTCTGTTTTGTGTGTGTCTGTGTGTGCGTGCGGCATGCGGGGAGCAGCAGCTGGCTCTCCAGCCTAAGCACCACTTCCAGCCGGGACCCCTCTCATAGGCAGCCCGTGCCAGCTTCCGCTCGTCCTTGAGCGCCTTGCTTCCCAGCGCCCTCCCTCTCCAATCCCCTCCCTTTCAGTAGATGCTATTTATATATTGTCTCGCTCCCTCCATCTCTCTCTGCCTCTCTCCTACACTCCCTCTTTCCCCCTCTCTCTGCCTCTCTACACTCTCTTTCCCTCTCTCTCGCTCTTCCTCTCTCTTGTTCTTCCAGTATGTATCAGCAGATCTAATTTCTGTTTTCCTCTTCTCTCCACTCTTTCCCAGGCTGCACTGCAGGTAAGCCTTTTCCCTCTCCTGTTCCTGTTCTTTATTTCTGCATGCTGACTGTCTGAAGCCCCTGACAGTGATTTAGTCATATTCAGTAGACCACTAGAGCAAAACCGACCAGTCGTTCATGTAGTAGACGGAGTAGGCTAGTCACCATTATATATTATTGACACATAAATGACGTGACCGGGTTAAGACATGCATGACGTGACCGGGTTAAGACATGCATGACGTGACCGGGTTAAGACATGCATGACGTGACCGGGTTAAGACATGCATGACGTGACCGGGTTAAGACCACACTTGCTCCGGGTCGTGTGTGTCCGTTGAAATCCATGGCCATGTCGGCTGTGGTAAATGCCAATCATTCATTCACCTTTATGTATTGTTGATACAGCATATTATTTTACTCTCTAGTCATTAAGCCTTGGTGCAAAGTGAATGGGTGAGAGATTCTGTTCAAAGGTTGATACATCTAGAACTATAACCTTATTGCTATAGGTGGGTAGTTGACTTTCTGATGTCCAGAAGCTCTTTTCGGTCATAAGAGACGGTAGCAGAAACATTATGTACAAAATAAGTTACAAACAATGTGAAAAAAAAAACGAAAAAAAAAAACGGCATGGTTGTCTAGACTTATGTGCGTTTTAGTTTGCCTTAAATCTGCCTGTGTCAATTACTAATACCCAGAGGGCACCATCGTGTCACAGCCTCATTGGGCGGAGGGGGCTTGAAGTTTGTACATGCTGCAGAGAAACGTGTCTAACGTTAGACAGGCGTACAGTGTGTCAGAGAGAGAAGTGGAGTACACGGCTCTCAAACAGAAGCTGGATAAATGTTTCATGCCGGAGCTACTCTGTATGGAGTTCGGTTGGTTATTCTAACCCCATAGCGCCAGCCAGCATCTACCTACACACACACACACACACACACACACACACACACACACACACACACACACACACACGCACACTCTCACATCCCAGTGACCTTCGCATGCCGCTGTGGTCTTAGCGGAAGGGGGAGGGGCCAAGCTCAGCCAGCAGCGGTGACAAGCGTTTGATGACGGCCACACGCACACCGGGAAGGAAGGAAGGGAGGGCGGCAGCTAGCCTGCGAGTGTGACAGGGCTGTCACTAGAGATGCTGCGAGGGGACAGGTGAAGGTAGCTAACGCTAGCTAGCCATCGTCACGGTGACTGGGGCACACACACACACTGACCTGTCACAGACATGAAGATGAAGATGAAGATCTTCAGCAGGTTCCACTATGTGTGGTATCTGGTGAGTGCGCTGGAAGAATGGGGTAAAACGTGTGTTTTACTTTCAGCTTGACATGGCTCTGTGCTATGGCCATTCTCTCTCTCTGTGTGTTTTAACTATCTCCAATTGTATGTCAGGGAAACAAGTGTCCTCTTTCTCAGTTTCTGTGTTTCTCAGCCCTTCCTCATTCTTCCGGTGTGAGTCTTTTAGGAGGTGACAGAGGTTGACCCTTTACCCGATGGCCGCAGCTTTTGCGCATGGAGATCCTCCGTATGTAATAATTAATTTAAATTTGATATTTGGTTTCCATTGACCCCCCCCCCCCCCCCCCCCCACCCAACCCAACCAACCCCCTCCTCTCCTGCCTGTATAACCGGAGTGATGAGTGATTTGCATTCATGTAGATTTTGCTGACGCGTGTGGTTTTCTCATTCTAAAGTATGGCTCCAACTGTTTTTTCCTTCTCACTACAAAGCATTAGCCTGGTCCCAGATCAGTTTTTACTGCCATGCCAACTCCTTGTCACTCATTGTCCAGTTAGCAAGACAGGTTGCTGTCATTACTTGGGCCCTGTTTGAAACATTTACTTCCCCTTCTCCTTGAAGCAATACCTGATCGGACATGAATGGATTGGTGGAAGCTCTGTGGTGCAACCCCCTGCCTTCACCTCTCCAATCCCGTTAGATCGCTGATTACTCCAAGGAAGGAGAGAAGGATTAATAAAATATTACTTTTCAAGCAGGGCGACGGTTTGCCCACACAATCCATTATTGCCTTGGCTTTTGATTGGTTGGGGATTGGATTCTATGTCGCTGTCTGTCGTGAGCCCTTGCTGAACGGCCGGTTTGCGGTATGGCTTTGTGTCTGCAGAGGGATGACATGTTTTTACCGCTTCCCAAAATGAACAACTATTTAATTCCTTCAGGGTATATGCTGGGACAGAGTCCTTGAATAATACATACATACAGCCCAAAAAGACCTTCTGAAGAGTCTGTTTGAGTAGACTACACACTAGTACACGGGGGGCCAGTATGAAAATGTATGCACTCACTAACTGTAAGTCGCTCTGGATAAGAGCGTCTGCTAAAAGAAATAAAAGTCAATGTATTAGGCTACAACTGTAGAACCCCGGGTCACTGTACAAAACCCAAATACCTTTTACAACCAGACTACAAACTTAAAAACCAGGGTATACGTACAACCCGACTACACTGTACAACCCGAAATAAAACTAGTGGGGGCCCACAAATGTACAACCAGGGTCCCTTCACCGACTACACTTCAAACCCCAACCCACCCGTAAACCTACTACCTGACAACCCGACTAAAACTGTACAAACCCGGGTCACTGTTTCAACCCCGGGTAAAACCGGGCAACCAGACTACACTGTACAAACCCGACTAAAACACAGTGAGGCTACCCCTGTCCAAAACCCGACTAAAGAACAAAACCCAAATACACTGTACAAACCCGACAAAACTGTCCAAACCCGGGTACCTTTAAAAAACCAGAAATACCTTTTACAACCAAATACACTGTCCCCCAGGGTTTCACTGTACCAAACCCGGCTACACTGTACAAAACCCAAATACCCTGTAAACAACCGAATACAAAACTGTGGGGTACACTGTACAACCCCGGGTACACTGTACCAAACCCCCCTACACTGTACAACCAACTACACTTTACAACCGGCACACGTAAAAACCAACTACAAATGTAAAAACCAGGGTAAACTGTAAAAACCAGGGACCCCCTGTACAAACCCGGCTACCTCTACACCAGAAATACAAAATGTACAACCAGGTTACACTGTTTCCCCCAACACACTGTACAAACCCGACCACGTCCAAAACCCGGCTAAAACTCTACAAAACCCATAAAACTGTTTCAAAACCCAAATACACTGTACAAACCATTTACCTGTAAAAACCAGGCTACATGTACAACCCCTTCTACACTGTAAAAAACCAGGCTACACTGTAAAAACCAGACCCCCAAAAACTGTTTCCAAACCCCACACTGTACAACCCGGGTACACTGTACCAAACCCAAATAAAACTGTACAACCGGCTAACACACTAGTGAGGGGTACACTGTCAACCAGACACACTGTACAACCCCGGGTTAAAAAGTACAAACCCCGGGGAAAACTGTACAACCCGACTCCCCTGTACAAAAAAAAACTACACTGTACAACCCGACACCTGGACACCAACCACCAACCGTACCCAGACTACACTGTACAACCAGGCTAAAAACACTAGTGGGCTACCTTCCCAAACCAAATAAAAACTGTACAACCCAAATACCCACAGTGAGGGGTAAAAAACTGTACAAAAAAGACTAAACTTACAACCAACTACACTGTACAACCCGGCTCCACGTACAACCAGACTAACCCGAAAAACCCGGCTATACGGGAAACAACCCGACTTTCACTGTACAAAACCCAACCCACCACATTTAGCCAAAAACGGTACAACCAGACTACACTGTAAAAACCCGGGTTTCCCCGACAACCAGGCCCAAAAACCCGTACAACCCGGCTACACTGTACAACCAGGCTACACTGTACAAACACCTGTACAACCAGGGTAACCCCGTTTCAACCAGGTTAAAACCCCAGTGAGGCTACAAATGTACAAACCCGACACAAATGGGAAAAACCAATACTACATGTACAAAACCAAATACACGGTTTCAAACCCGGCACACTGTACAACCCAAATACACTGTAAAAAACCAGGCTAAAACTGTACAACCCCGACTACACTGTCAACCAGATAAAACACTAGTGAGGCTCCCCCTGTACAACCGACTAAAACCCCTAGTAGGCTACACTGTCCCCCCCCGGCTACACTGTACAACCAGGTTTTTACTGTTTCAACCAGGCTAAATTACAAAACCCCCCTACACTGTACAACCCCGGCTACCTGTAAAAAACCAACTACCTGTACCAAACCCGGCTAAAAACTGTAAAAACCAACTAAAAATGTACAAACCCCCGGGTAACACTATTTGGGGACACTGTACAAACCCACTAAAAACTGTAAACCAGGTTTTCACTGTTTCAACCAAAACTACAAAAGTCCCAAACCCGACTAAAACTTTAAAAACCAGACTCCTGTACAACCAGACTTTCACTTTTACAAACCAAAATACACTGTCAAACCCGGCCCCCCTGTACAAACCCAAATAAACTGGACAACCACTACACCTATGAGGGTACACTGTACAACCAGGCTACACTGTACAACCAGACTACCCTACAACCAGCTAAAACCCCTGTACAACAGGGTTTCACACAAAATGAGGGTACAAATGTACAAACCCAAAACACTGGGACAAAACCCGGGTACAAAATTTTCAACCCCCGGGTAACTTTCAACCGACCCACAAAACTAGTGAGGCTACACACTGGGAAAAAACCAGACTCAAAATGTACCAAACCCAAATACACTGTAAAAACCGACTACACTTTTACAAAACCGACTAAAAAAATGTAAAAACCCCGACTAAAACTGTACAACCAACACACACTATGGGGGCTACACTGTCAACCAGGGCTACACTGTACAACCCCGACTACACTGTACAAACCCAAATACACTGTAAAAAACCAACTAAAAACTGTAAAAACCAGGCTACACTTACAACCAGCTTTCACAAAAGTGAAAACTACCTGTACCCCCCGGCTACCCCACAGGATAACTACACTGTACAAACCCGACTACCAAATTGAGGCTAACTGTAAAAACCAGGCCCACACACTAGTGAGGCCCCCCCTTTTACAACCAGGCTAAAACCCCGTAAAACCCGCCCCAAAAACCATTTAGGCAAAACCCGTACAAAACCCGGCTTTCACTGTAACAAACCCGGCTACACTTTTAAAAACCGGCTACCACAGTGAGGCTACAAAGTCAACCAGGGGTACCTGTACAACCCCGGGTTTACTTTAAAAACCAACTAAAAACTGTAAAAACCAAATCCCAAACACTGTGAGGCTAAAACTGTTTCAAAACCCGGCTAAAAACTGTACAACCCCGGCTACAAAGTACAAACCCGACCCAACCCCCTGTAAAAACCCGCTAAAAACTGTTTCAACCAGGTTACACTGAAAAAACCAGCTACCCCTTACAAAACCCCGGCCCCACACTGTACAACCAGGTTACACTGTACAACCCTGGTTTTCACCTATGAGGCTCACTGTACCAAACCCGGCTACCTGTAAACCAAAACTACCCTGTACAAAACCCGGCTACACCGTACAACCCGACTACACTGTAAACCCGGCCCACACGTACAAACCAGGGTCCTGTACAACCAGGGTACCCCTAGTGAGGCTACACGTACAACCAGACTTTCACTGTACCCAGGTTTACCCTGTCAACCAGGCTACACTGTAAAAACCAACTAAAACTTAAAAACCCCGGCTACAAAATGTCCAAACCCGGGTACCGTACAACCCGAAATACAAATGTACAACCAGGCTACACTGTACAACCAGGTTACACACAGTGAGGGTAAAACTGTAAAAACCAGACTACACGTACAACCAACACACTGTACCAAACCCGGGTACAAATTAAAACCAGGTTAAAAAACTGTACAACCAGGTTTCACACTATGGGCTACCCCGTTTAAACCAGGCTACCTGTTTCAACCAGACTAAACACTAGTGAGGGTACCCGTAACCCCGACTACACTGTACAACCAACTACCGGGACAACCAGACTACCTGTAAAAAACCAGGCTCCAAATGTACAACCAGGTTTAAAAACCCGGGAAAAACCAGGTTTAAAACCCGTGAGGCTACCTTCCCAAACCCGGCACACGGGACAAACCCCTACACACTAGTGAGGCACACTGTACCAAACCGGCTACACTTTTACACCCCTACACTGGGAAACCAGACTACACGTAAAAACCAGGCAACGGTTTCAACCAGGTTACACTGTCAACCCCAAAATTTCACTGTACAACCAGGCTACCCGAAAAACCAGGCTACAAATGTTTCAACCAGGTTACACTGTACAACCAGGCCCACCTGTACAACCAGACCTTTTCACTGTACAAAACCCGGGTAAACTGACAACCAGACTACCCGTACAAAACCGGGTAAAACTGTACAAACCCGACTACCTGTACCAAACCCGGGTACACTGTACAAACCCGGGGGCCCGTAAAAAAACCAGACACACTGTACAAAACCAAACTACACGTACAACCAGGCCCACCTGTACAAACCCGGTTTCCCCTGTAAAAACCGGGTACACTTAAAACCAGACTACAAATGTACAAACCCGGCTACACTGTCCCCAGACTACCAAAAATGTACAACCAGGTTACACTTACAACCAACCCTACACTGTACAACCAGGGCCCCACTGTAAAAACCCGGGTTCCCCTGTTAAAAAACCAGGCTACACTGTACAAAACCAAAATAAATGACAACCGGCTAAAAAAACTGTACAACCAGACACACTGTTCAAACCCGGGTACCACTAGTGAGGCTACACTGTAAACAACCAACAACTGTACAAACCCGACACACGGGAACAAACCCGGGTACACTGTACAACCCCAAATACACTGTACAACCAGGCTATACTGTACAACCAGACTACACTGTACCCAAACCCGCTATAAAGGGACAAAAACCCCCTACAAAAACCCGTACAACCAGACTACACACTAGTGAGGCTACCTGTACAACCAGACTACACTGTACAACCAGGCTAAAACACAAAGGGGGGTACACTGTAAAAACCAGACTACAAAGTACAAAAAAGACTCAACTTAAAAAACCCGGGTACACTGTCAACCAGACCCACACTGAACCCCCAACCCCGGGTATACGTAAAAACCCCAAAATAAAAACTTACAACCAGGCTTTTACTGTACAAAACCAAAAACCCCCAAATGTACCCAGCTACCCACTAGTGAGGGTACCTGACAACCGAAATAAAACCCCGTACAAACCGGCTCACACTAGTGAGGCACCTGTAAAAAACCAACTACCCTGTACCAAACCCGACTACACTGTACAACCGGGTAAACCCCCCGTACAAAACCGGCTACCACTGTGAGGGGGTACACTGTTTCAAACCAACAAAACTGTACCCCCAGGCCCACACCTAGTGGGGGCTACACTGTACAAAACCAACTACACTGTTAAAACCAGGGTACAAAACTAGTGAGGCTACCGTCCAAAAACCGACTACACTGTCCCAAACCCGACTACACCTTTACAACCAGGTTAAAACTGTACAACCCCAAATCACTGTACCCCAGGAAAAACGTACAACCAAGGGTAAAAACACAGTGAGGGTACACTGTCCCAAACCCGGCTACAAAGTACAACCAGACTACCGTACAACCAGACACACTGTCAACCCGACTACACGGGACCCAAACCCGACTAAAATTCAACCAGGGGGTTTCACTGTCCCCAAACCGGGTTACACCCATGAGGCTAAACCCCTTTAAAACCCCCCTACCCCTTTTCCCCCCCCTACCAACGTACAAAACCCGACTACACGTAAAAACCAGACTCCTGTAAAACCAACTACAAATGTACAACCCGGGTACACTTACAAAACCCGGTTTCACTTTTAAACCAAAACTACAATGTACAACCAGGTTTTCCAAATTTTACAAAACCCAAATACAAAGTACAACCAGACTACAAAGTACAACCAGAAATACACTGTACACCCCGGCTAAACTGTACAAACCAAAATTTCACTGTACAACCAGGCCCACACTGTACAACCGGTTTTCACTGTACAAAACCCAAATACACTGTACAAAACCCGGGTACACTGTACAACCCCGGGTACACGTAAAAACCAGACTACCCTGTACAACCAGGCCCAAAACTGTACAACCGGTTTCAAAAGTAAAACCGACTACACTTTTCAACCAGGTTAAAAACTGTACAACCAACTACAAAGGGACAACCAAAACTACACGTAAAAACCAGACTAAAACTGTACAACCAGGCACACGTACAAAAACCCGGCTACACTGTACCCCAGGTTACACTGTAAAAACCAGGTTAACCCGTACAAACCCGACCCCACAAAACCCAGTGAGGCTACACTGTACAACCAGGCTACACGGGACAAAACCCGACTTTCACACTAGTGAGGGTAAAAACTGAAACCCGGGTACCTTAAAAACCAGGTTACACGTAAAAACCAGACACCTGTACAACCAACTACAAATTTCAACCCCGGGTACACTGTAAAAAGGCTACACACTAGTGAGGGGTAAAACTGTACAAACCCGGCCTAAAACTGTACAACCAGACTACACTGTACAACCAGGCTACCGTACAAACCCGGCTACACTGTCCAACCATACTTAAAACCTTGAAAACCAACCAGGGCTACATGTCACCAACAAAACCGTAAAACCAGCACCTGTAAAAACCGGGCTCCCTTCACCCCCGGACCTTTATTTGTACATTCGAACAGCCCGTACAGCTACCTTAAAAAACCGGCCTTCCCGTTTTTTGACCTCTTAGGGAAGTTGTCTTCCATAAGACCCGGCATTTAAAAATTTAAAGTTGGGCCCCGGGGATCTATAGTAATTAACTGGAATGTGTGAGTCACACCAGAGAGGAAGAGGCGATGCCAGAGCGATAACTGGGCCCAAAATCTGGCTTCTCCAGCAGGTAACTTCTTTTTCAGGCACCAAGCAAGGAGTTTAGTATGGAGGTCAATTAGTGTCGAATTTGGTTAACAGAAAATGTAATAGCTTATTTGCTACGTGTGGCTTATTTGATCGAATAGTTGTTTCGTAGTGCTTAGGTTGTTACGAGTCTACTGATAAGTAGCACACGTGACATCCCGGCAACTTTGAGAAAAAACACTTTATATCAGAGTTGTGCCTGTTGTTCACACATGTATCTGCCCTCTCATTGGTTAGAATGGTCCCACCTGATCTTGGCCCCTTCTGAGTACCCGCCCTTTAGCTAACGTTCCACTCCTTGTCATTGCCAAAGAGACTGGCCTTTCGGCAATCTCAAAGTTCAATATGCGCTGGATTTAGTGGATTTTCTCTTTGGTTGTTGGAAATAACATGAATTTCCATGACTAGATGTGGAGCCTCAAATATAATTTTGTTTTATAACAAAGTCAAAAACAAACATTTAGCTGTTAGCTAGGAATGTTGTATTTTGAGGCTTAAAATCAAAACTAAGGCGTTTTGTGGTTGGAATTGCAGTATGTATTTAGTTTGAGAATTTAGACATGCGCTAGCAACTTTTGACGGACTGGTTTAGTATGGACAAACAAATTGTTGATTAGCAACCGGATACCGTCGTCATAACCCGGAGGCTTGCCAAACAGACCAAACAGACCAGGCCGAGGTTTGAGAAGTAAATGAGAGAAATTAGAAATTCTTCGTTAGTAGGTAATTTTCTCGAACTCTAAAGGCACAACCTAGATTTGAGCCAATGTCTTAAGTAGTTAAATATGTTATTATTCCAACCTTGTGAAAGTGACTAACTGACACGTTTTCATTTTCGTAAAAAAAACAACAACTTTATATCGAAGGAGGGCCTATGATTTGAAGGCCTGCACATGCGCAGTCCGCACAAGACGACAGTTTAGCTAGCCAATGTCGCCATGGCATTGGAAACGCAATTTCTGCCAACCTTCATACTGTACTGTCTTCGCCGACATGTTCTGTGGAGAAAAAAAGTCATGAGTTCCAATTTAATCATTGTGGTTGGAGGATAGCTGTGAGGGTGATCGAATCAGGAGCAAATCCTCTGTTTTCTTCTACTCGTTATGATAGAATGTTCATATTTGAAGACTGCGTAAAGCCCAGTCTCTTTGGCACATGACATGGAGTACAGGGAGGGGATTAGCTAAAGAGACTGGTACCCAGGCTAACTGTCTTCCATTTTGAATACATTATTTTTCATTGTTAGAGCGGCCACTTGTTTCGGGTCAATATATTGGATAATCTGTGGACGCACCCAGTAATTGAAATTTGTTAGTCACACGCGATATCTCAATTGGCCCAAGGGGGGCGCTGCATCATTCCTGGGGGAAGACATGTTTACTGTTGCCTTGTTTGATCATGGTTAGTGATACACGCAGCAGTCATACGAGACAGAATTTACTTACCAAGCTCTCTCTCTCTCTCAAGACTGATTGGGGAGGTTGAGTGGAGGACTCTGTCCGTTTTCTAAAGCTTATTTCTTGTTTCTCTTATTTTCACAGTGGATGGCTAAAACATCATTATTTCCCCCCACGATGAAATCGGAGCGGGGACTATGGTCTGGATCTGTCTCAGTTAATGTGTTAGTCACATGCAATATCTCACACCACTGGCCTGATATTTTTATTAACAGCAGTACAACAATACATTTTAAAACCGTGACAATCTCTAGTGATATTTACTGGTAGTAAGAGTTGTTGCATTTAGTAGTCACCCTCTCTAAATTGAAGGGGTTCATTTAGTAGTCACCCTCTCTAGGATTGAAGGGGTTCATTTAGTAGTCACCCTCTCTAGGATTGAAGGGGTTCATTTAGTAGTCACCCTCTCTAGGATTGAAGCGGTTCATTTAGTAGTCACCCTCTCTAGGATTGAAGGGGTTCATTTAGTAGTCACCCTCTCTAGGATTGAAGGGGTTCATTAGTAGTCACCCTCTCTAGATTGAAGGGGTTCATTTAGTAGTCACCCTCTCTAGATTGAAGGGGTTCATATAGTAGTCACCCTCTCTAGGATTGAAGGGGTTCATTTAGTAGTCACCCCTCTCTAGGATTGAAGGGCTTCATTTAGTAGTCCACCCTCTCTAGGAGTGAAGGGGTTCATTTAGTAGTCACCCCTCTAGGAATTGAAGGGGTTCATTTAGTAGTCACCCTCTCTAGGATTGAAGGGGTTCATTTAGTAGTCCACCCTCTCTAGGATTGAAGGGGTTCATTTAGTAGTCACCCTCTGCTAGATTGAAGGGGTTCATTTAGTAGTCACCCTCTCTAGGGTTGAAGGGGTTCATTTAGTAGTCACCCTCTCTAGGATTGAAGGGGTTCATTTAGTAGTCACCCTCTCTAGGATTGAAGGGGTTCATTTTGTGATGGGAGTCTTGTATTGACACAGTTGGGCGTCTTCGTACAGCCAGTTTCCGTTCCCCCCTCCATTTATCTGCCTGGCATTGCCTACATTCTGTACTGTAAACCCCCCCCCCCCCCCCCCCCCCCCCCCATCTAAAAATAACCTCTGTTGTCCTACAGTGTAATGGTGGAAGTGTGTGTGTCAAACCAGGGGATTGCTAGGCTGAGGTGTTTAGCTCCAGGCCCCTTTGCTCAGGTTTCAGTGCAGAATGCAATCTGGTCACGAGTACACACACACACACACACACACACACACACACACCGCATCCTGCTAGCTGTAAGTAGATGCTGAAGGAGTGATGTTGAAGCGCAACACAGTGGTCAAACTCCTATTACACACAGATCAACCAACGGCGTCTTGCAGACCTTACTGGGACAAATACAGGCTAGTGGAACCTGACAGGAAGGTTCTGATGCCGTGGTGCTTTGGGTTCTCAATATCGTGTGCTAGTAGTCATTTGGAACTGAGAGGATTACTGTCATCGTTTTCCACTTGGATGTTTATTATCTTACAATTTTAAAGTCGTATCTTTCCTATCACAGATGATCTGCTTCGAGGACTGTTTCATTAAATCCTATATCCCATTCAAGTTAATGATGCTGTAATGGGTGGATTGGCAGCCGTTTTAAGAGATTCTATTTCTATGGTCACTGCAACGTCCATATGTGTGCCCCCTGGGCCTGTATCTCCCCTGGGCCTGTATCTCCCCTGGGCCTGTATCTCCCCTGGGCCTGTATCTCCCCTGGGCCTGTATCTCCCCTGGGCCTGTATCTCCCCTGGGCCTGTATCTCCCCTGGGCCTGTATCTCCCCTGGGCCTGTATCTCTAGTACATGTATATTTCCAAGGACAGGCATGTTCAGTAGGCACTAAATAGGAAAATGTCTCGTTTGTGTGAGCCTACCTCATCCTTTTACAAAAAAGCATTCTCCCTTTGCATTTTGATCAAACCCACATATTTAACCCACATCTTCTCAAAGTACCCCTCTCTTCCTGTCCCAACTCCATAGAAATGCCATTACTATGTACGTTGTATAATTAGCCACTACTTTTATAGAAACATATTGCTATTGTCTAGTGTTTGTTACCTACTGAATTGTCCCTTTTGTAAGGTCAACAGGGTTGTGTTCATTAACGCCCACCGTAGCAGAACGTTGTGATACGGAAAACGAAAACAGGCTTTTCTTCAGTTCAGTGGTTTTCTTCCTTTTTATGGCTAGTGAACACGACCCCAAATGTGTGGCTCAATGGCACAGTGCTGAGTCCCTCCTCACCTGGCCGCCCACAGTGAATCAGGATCAGACTGTTTTTTTGCCTGCCTCATTGACTGAACATGTCTGTATGCCTCAAGCCTGTTTGTGTGCTGTGTATTCGATGTACAAAACCAAGCGCTACCAACACAAAATGCCATTTTCTATTTTCTCTCCCGCTCTCTCTCCCTCTCTCTGTTCTCCTACCTCTGGTCTCTCTCTCTCTCTCTCCCTCTCCCTCTCCCTCTCCCTCCCTCTCCCTCTCCTCTCCCTCTCTCTCTCTCTCTCTCTCTTTCAGGACTTCTCGAATGACGACACCAAGCTGGAGTACAATGTGGATGCAGACAATGGCATTGCGATGGAGGGCTACCTGTTTAAGAGGGCCAGCAACGCCTTCAAAACATGGAACAGGTAAGACATGATGCACCTCTCCCCCCCTCTCCCTCTCTCCTTCTCCCCCCTCTCTCTCTCTCCTTCTCCCCCCTCTCTCCCCCTTCTCCCCCTCTCTGCTCCCCCCTCTCTCTCTCTCCTTCTCCCCCCTTTTCTCTCTCTCCTTCTCCCTCCCCCTCTTTCTCTCTCTCCTTCTCCCCCCTCTTTCTCTCTCCTTCTCCCCCCTCTTTCTCTCTCCTTCTCCCCCCTCTTTCTCTCTCCTTCTCCCCCCCCCTCTTTCTCTCTCTCCTTCTCCCCCTCTTTCCTCTCTCCTTCTCCCCCCTCTTCTCTCTCTCTCCCCCTCCCCCCCTCTTCTCTCTCTCTCTCCCCCCCCCTCTCCCCCCTTTCTCTCTCCTTCTCCCCCCTCTTTCTCTCTCCTTCTCCCCCCCTTTCTCTCTCCTCCTCCCCCCTCTTTCTCTCTCTCTCCTGCTCCCCCCTTTCTCTCTCTCCTTCTCCCCCTTTCTTCGTCCTCTCTCTCCTTCTCTCCCCCTCTCTCCTCTCTCTCCCTTCTCCCCCCTCTTTCTCTCCTCCTCTCCTCTCCTTCTCCCCCCTCTTCTCTCCCCTCCCCCTCTTCGTCCCTTCTCCCCCCTCTTTCTCCTCCTTCTCCCCTCTTTCTCCTCCCCCCCTCTTTCTCTCTCTCTCGTCCTTCTCCCCCCTCTTCTCTCTCTCCTTCTCCCCCCTTTCTCTCTCTCCTTCTCCCCCCTCTTTCTCTCTCCTTCTCCCCCTCTCCTTCTCCTTCCCCCCTCTTCTCTCTTCCTCTCTCCTCCTCCCACCCTCTCTCTCCTCTCTCCTTCTCCCCCCTCTTCTCTCTCTCTCCTTCTCCCCCCCTCCTCTTCTCTCCTCTCTCCCCTCCTCTCTCTCTCTCCTCTCTCCCCCTCTGTCTCCTCCCTCTTCTCCCTCCCTCTTTCTCTCTTCTCCTTCTCCCCCTCTTTCTCTCTCTCTCTTCTCTCTTCTCTCCTCTCCTTCTCCCCCTCTTTCTCTTCCTTCTCCTTCTCCCCCTCTTTCTCTCTCTCTCTCTTCTCCCCGTACCTTCTCCTTCTCCCCCTCTCCCCCTTTCTCTCTCTCCTCCTTCTCCCCCCTCTTTCTCACTCTCTCGTCCCCCCTCTCTCCTTCTCCCCCTCCCCCTCTCTCTCTCCTCTCCCTCCTTTCCCCCCTCTTTCTTCTCTTCCTTTTCCCCCCTTTGTGCTCTCCTCCTGCTCCTCTCCCGCCTCCCCCTCTCTCCTCCTCCTCTCCTCCGCCTCCCCTTTCTCTCTCTCCCCCCTCTATCAGTCTCTCTATCCCTCTCTCTCTAGCTGTGCCCTGAAACGGCTTCACCATTGCACTAAACACCACGATGTCCAGTAGGTAGAACATTCCTGGTAGTGGTGATCTTTCTGTGTCCTCTAACCTTGTGGTGATTAGTTATTAGCTGAGTGGGGAGGTGATAAATCACAGTTTAGTATGCAATCATCCAGGGCCAATCAGGAGGGAGGGAGGCCAGGAAGAATGGTGGGAGGGAGGTAGTGACGTAGCGTAGTCATCTGACACCTGGGAGAGCGCAGCCTGAATGGCAATGGTGCAGGGCTCCGTGAGCTGCATGGCGTTAGCAAGAAGAGCTCCAACTCTTTATTGTCCTGCAGCATCAGAAGACATTCCCTGTACTGCAAGATGGAGGTCTCTGGAACCATGCTGCTGACTGAGAATGACTTGTGTTACCTATTCACTTGTTTCTCAGACAAACAATTGGGTTTCAAAAGTTCAATATTACGGTGCAGAAAAGCTTTTTTTCCCGACATTATCTGTCAAACCAACAAACGGCTAAGTTTTCTACCTAGCTATTCTCCCACGATAATATCAGATTATTATTTTTTTGTCAATTTATTTGTCCTTCATTAAATCTCTATCCATTTCAATTGACTATATTAAATGCTTTAAATTGTCGTGAACGCTCTTGTGATCTCCTTTCAGGCGCTGGTTCTCCATTCAAAACAATCAGCTAGTTTACCAGAAGAAATTCAAGGTAAATCAGATTACACCAGCCGTGTCCTAAATTGGTACCCTGTTCCCTATAAATAGTGTACTACTTTTGACCAAAACCCTATGGGTAGTGTACTGTATAGGGAGAAGGGTGCCATTTGGGATGGCTCCTCCAGCTGCTACGCACAACATCAAATATAAACTTCCAGCCCAAATATTCCCCTTGCATTTTAATATAATGAGGTAGCGTTGAATTTGAAGCACAGTTAACACAAAATATTCACTTTGCTCAAGGTTACCAGGTTACAATATGGAATTAAATTAACACCTGTGTTGTGTATACCTCTGAAGAAATTACATTTGCGTGTGTGCGCGCGCGCGCTTGCGCATGCAATTTGTAAATGAGTGTGTATGTGTACATTGCATTGTTTCTGCGTGTGTGTGTGTGTGTGTGTGTGTGTGTGTGTGTGTGTGTGTGTGTGTTACTGAAGCTGTGTTCCCCTTTCCCAGGATAATCCCACAGTGGTGGTGGAGGACTTGCGGCTATGTACAGTCAAACACTGTGAGGATATCGAACGCCGCTTCTGCTTTGAAGTGGTGTCCCCCACCAAGTAAGTACACACACACATACTATAATGCACATCTATACACTAGATATACAAAAGTATGTGGACAACCCTTCAAATGAGTGGATTCGGCTATTTCAGCAACACCCGTTGCTGACAGGTTTATAAAATCGAGCACACAGCCTATGGAGATTGCATGGCTAACATTGGCAGTAGAATGTCCTCAGTGACTTTCAACGTGGCACTGTCATAGGATGGCACCTTTCCAACAAGTCAGTTCGTCATATTTCTAGCCTGCTAAAGCTTCCCCGGTCAACTGTAAGTGCTGTTATTGTGAAGTGGAAACGTCTAGGAGCAACAACGGCTCAGTCGGGAAGTGGTAGGCCACACAAGCTCACAGAATCTGTCCTCAGTTGTAACACTCAATACCGACTTCCAAACTGCCTCTGGAAGTAACGCCAGCACAAGAACTGTTCGTCGGGAGCTTCATGTAATGGGTTTCCATGGCCGAGCAGCCGCACACAAGCCTAAGATCACCATGCGCAATGCCAAGCGTCGGCTGGAGTGCTGTAAAGCTCGCAGCAATTGGACTCTGGAGCAGTGGAAACACGTTCTCTGGATTGATGAATCACGTGTCACCATCTGGCAGTCCAATGGATGAATCTGGGTTTGGCGGATGCCAGGAGAACGCTACCTGCCCAATGCATAGTGCCAACTGTAAAGGTGGAGGAGGAATAATGGTCTGGTGCTGTTTTTCATGGTTTGGGCTAGGGCCCTTAGTTCCAGTAAAAGGAAATCTTAACACTACAGCATACAATGACATTCTAGATGATTCTGTGCTTCCAACTTTGTGGCAACAGTTTGGGAACGCCCTTTCTTGTTTCAGCATGACCATGCCCCCTGTGCACAAAGTGAGGTCCATACAGAAATGGTTTGTCGAGATTGGTGTGGAAGAACTTGACTGGCCTGCACAGAGCCCTGATCTCAACCCCATCGAACGCCAATTATGAGCCAGGCCTAATTGCCCGACATCAGTGCCCGACCTCACTAATGCTCTTGTGGCTGAATGGAAGCAAGTCCCCGCAGCAATGTTCCAACATCTAGTGGAAAGCCTTCCCAGAAGAGTGGAGGCTGTTATAGCAGCAAAGAGGGGACCAACTCCAGGTGCAGGTGTCCACATACTTTTGGTCATGTAGGCCAGGCAGCAGGCTGACGTCCCAGTGTCCCCCCCCCACTCCAGGAGCTGTATGATGCAGGCTGACTCTGAGAAGTTGAGGCAGGCCTGGATCAAAGCTGTCCAGAACAGCATTGCCACTGCCTTCAGGGAGCAGGGAGAGGACGCTGAGGTGAGTCACCACACACTAGCATAACTAATGACCTCAATACATTTCTCCATGTTATTTATTGCTATTTGTTTCCATTTTGTCAATGTCAGGATGAAAATAATCAGACGTACCTCTTAGACAAAAGATGTGAACAAAAATAAAGGATTTCCCTCTAGTGTGTGTGTGTGTGTGTGTGTGTGTAGTCGGTTGGTCTATACCAATAGACAACGAAGTATCGTTCTTCTTCTAGTGTTGTATCTTGTGTATAACCTCATGTTCATGGCCCTCCATGCCAGAAGCTGGACCGGAAGTCTTCCACGTCCACAGGCAGCCTGGACTCGGGCGGCGAGCCCAAAGAGAGGTCACTGAAGGGGGAGAGCGCCCTCCAGAGGGTCATAGTCATTGGGGGCAACGCCTGCTGCTGTGACTGTGGCCAGCCTGACCCACGCTGGGCCAGCATCAACCTGGGCATCACCCTCTGCATCCAGTGCTCTGGGATACACAGGTATACTACATACTGAAGTACTGGTACTACACTGAACAAAAATATCAAACGCAACATGTAAAGTATTGGTCACATGTTTCATGAGCTGCATTAAAAAATCCCTGATATTTTCCATACGCACAAAAATCTTATTTCTCTCAAATGTTGTGCACACATTTGTTTACATCCCTGTTAGTGAGCATTTCTCCTTTGCCAAGATAATCCATCCACCTGACAGGTGTGGCATATCAAGAAGCTGATTAAATTGCATGATCATTACACAGGTGCACCTTGTGCTGGGGACAATAAAAGGCCACTTTAAAATGTGTGGTTTTGTCACACAACACAATGCCACAGATGTCTCAAGTTTTGAGGGGAGCGTGCAATTGGCATGCTGACTGCAGGAATGTCCATCAGAGCAGTTGCCAGAGAATGTAATGTTCAGTTCTCTACCATAAGCTGCATCCAGTGTCTTTTTAGAGAATTTGGCATTACGTCCAACCGGCCTCACAACCGCAGACCATGTGTAACCACGCCAGCCCAGGACCTCCACATCCAGCTTCTTCACCTGCGGGATTGTCTGAGGGGGGGGGGGGGGGGGTGCTGCTGAGGAGTATTTCTGTCTGTAATAAAGCCCTTTTGTGTGGAAAAACTAATTCTGATTGGTTGGGCCTGGCTCCCCAGTGGTTGGCTATGGCTCCTCCCAGCCCCACCCATGGCTCCACCCCTGCCCAGTCATGTGAAATCCATAGATAAGGGCCTAATGAATTTATTTAAATTGACTGATTTCCTTATGAACTGTAGCTCAGTAAAGTCTTTGAAATTGTTTGCGTTTTTATATTTTTGTTCAGTGTGTGTATATATATATATCACCCTCTGCATCCAGTGCTCCGGGGATACACAGTACATTCCTATCACTGCAGATACTACACATCAAGGTACTACTGACTTCATATGTATTCATAGGCGTCAAACCCCAATTACTTTTATTAGGCTACTAGCCACTTAGCCATTTTATGAAGATGGCTTTAGCTAGCCCAGATAGGTTCCCAGCCTCATATCTAGCTACCCAGGAGCCATTTCAGGCTATCGATCACGTTCGAGTCGCAAGCTTGTCTAACTATCTTAGCTGGCATGCATGCTGGCATGATTGGTAAGACTTTAGAAAAGCAAGCAACAACTAAATGTACTGAATAAGGCTCACATTCCTTTCAATATTTTACCCGGATTTTAGCAGAGAAGCAGAGAAGCATATTTAGTTTCTTTAAACAAAGAACCACCAGTCAGGAGGATACAGAGAGCTAAAGAGGTGTGCTTAGATATGCAGAAAAAATATACATATTTTTTTTTACATAGAATTAAGCGTAATGATTATGGCTGTAGATTGCAGGAAAAAGCTGTTTCGGGTGTTTGAAAAATGCAAAATTCTCCAACGTACGGATGGTGGGCCACCCCCCCCCAAGCCATCCTCACGTACTTTGTACCCCCTCAGATTTTGGGGGTGCGTGACGCCCCTGTATGTCTTCAAGGTATAACACCGAAGTACTTTACCAATATTGCACCTTCTTTCTATGTGACACACTGAGATTAATCCAAAGTGTTATCTTAACATGGTAACATAAAGCTGCTGTACAACAAGATACTGGACAGAATGGTCCTGTACAACAACATACTGGACAGACTGGTGCTATACTGGACAGACTGGTGCTGTACAACAAGATACTGGACAGACTGGTCCTATACAACAAGATACTGGACAGAATGGTCCTATACTGGACAGACTGGTACTGTACAACAAGATACTGGACAGAATGGTCCTATACTGGACAGACTGGTGCTGTACAACAAGATACTGGACAGAATGGTGCTGTACAACAAGATACTGGACAGAATGGTCCTATACTGGACAGACTGGTGCTGTACAACAACATACTGGACAGAATGGTTCTGTACAACAAGATACTGGACAGAATGGTGCTATACAACACGATACTGGACAGACTGGTGCTATACTGGACAGACTGGTACTATACAACAAGATACTGGACAGAATGGTGCTGTACAACAACATTTTTAATAGATGGGAATAAAACAAAAATCAAAGGCTCAGTAAATCTGTCCCCAAGTGCATTTTTGACTGTTTACTTTCTGTTACTAACTGCATACTCCCACCTTCTGGCCACACTACAAACTACACCCTCGGTTGAACAGCATGTTCCTGTGATTAAAATGTTATTTTTTTAGACAATCTCTTTGATGTATGGGTTGATAAGACTCTCCCACCATCTGCAGGAGTCTGGGGGTCCATTTCTCCAAAGTGCGCTCGCTCACCCTGGACTCCTGGGAACCGGAACTACTCAAGGTGAGAGGAGGGAGGGGCAGAGGAGGGAGGGAGAGGGAGGGGAAAGGAGGGAGGGAGGGGCGGAGGGAGGGGCAGAGGGATGGGAAAGCAGGGAGGGAGGGGGAAGGAGGGAGGGGCAGAAGAGGGAGGGGCAGAGGAGAGAAGAGGGAGGGAGGGGCAGGGGAGAGAAGAGGGAGGGAGGGGCAGGGGAGAGAAGAGGGAGGGGGAAGGAGGGAGGGGAAGGAGGGAGGGGCAGAAGAGGAGGGGCAGAGGAGAGAAGAGGGAGGGAGGGGCAGGGGAGAGAAGAGGGAGGGAGGGGCAGGGGAGAGAAGAGGGAGGGGGCCGGGGCAGAGCAAGAGGGGAGGCGGCAGACCCAGCAGAAACCGAGAAGGGAAGGGGGTCAGGGAGTGGGCAGAGGAGGAACAGAGGAGGGAGAAGGAGCCAGAGAGGGAGGGGGCAGAGGAAGAGACGAGGGAAGGGCAGAGAGAGAGGGGTCATGGGAAGGAGGGAGGGAGGGGGAGTGGAGGGAGGGGACCATGAGGGGGGAGGGGGGGCAGAGAGGAGAGGGGGAGGGAGGAGAAGGGAGGGAGGGGCCAGAGGGGGAGGGAGGGGTAGAGCGAGGGGAGGGGAGGAGAGCAGGGAGAGGGGAGGGAGGGGTAGAGCGAGGAGAGGGGAGGGGAGGGGTAGAGCGAGGAGAGAGGGGAGGGAGGGGTAGAGTAGAGGAGGAGGGGGGAGGGGTAGAGCGAGTCCTTCTTGGGGGCGAGGAGGAGCGGGGGGGAGGGGCGAGGAGAGGGGGGGGCGGGCGAGGGGAGGGGGGGGGGATGGGGGCAGGGAGGAGGGGGGAGGGGTAGAGCGAGGAGAGGGGAGGGGAGGGGTAGAGCGAGGAGAGGGGGGAGGGAGGGGCGAGGGCAGGGGAGGGGTGGGGAGGGGCAGAGCGAGGGGGGAGGGGCAGAGCGGGGGGGGGGGAGGAGAGAAAGGATAAGGGAGGGAAAGGGAGGGGACAGAAAGAGAGAGGTAGGAGACTTTCACGCTCACATACTCCCTCTCTTGCATTCACTAGTGACAGATCAATGCGAAAATGTAATGGTTACAGATTACAGCTGTCTTTAATGTCAAGAATTTACATGAATGACATGCTGTCCTCAGAGTGTGCTGGTTAATTTAGTCATAGTAACATTATTGTGTGTGTGGTGTGTTGTACACAGCTGATGTGTGAGCTGGGTAATGGGGTCATCAACCAGATCTACGAGGCTCGGAGAGAGGAGCTGGGAGCCAGGAAGCCAAAGCCGGCAGACCCTAGGTACTACCTCCATGTTCTACCTCCATGTTCTATAGCTACCGCTATGTTTAGCTACCTCCATGTTTTATAGCTACCACTATGTTTAGCTACCTCCATGTTTTATAGCTACCACCATGTTTTATAGCTACCTCCATGTTTTATAGCTACCTCCATGTTTTATAGCTACCGCTATGTTTAGCTACCTCCATGTTTTATAGCTACCTCCATGTTTTATAGCTACCTCCATGTTTTATAGCTACCTCCATGTTTTATAGCTACCTATGTTTTATAGCTACCGCCATGTTTTATAGCTACCACCATGTTTTATAGCTACCACCATGTTTTATAGCTACCACCATGTTTTATAGCTACCACCATGTTTTATAGCTACCGCCATGTTTTATAGCTACTACCATAGCTACCTCCATGTTTTATAGCTACCTCCATGTTTTATAGCTACCACCATGTTTTATAGCTACCACCATGTTTTATAGCTACCACCATGTTTTATAGCTACCACCATGTTTTATAGCTACCACCATGTTTATAGTACCATCCATGTTTATAGCTACCTCATTGTTTATAGCTACCGCCATGTTTTATAGCTACCAGCCATGTTTTATAGCTACTCACATGTTTTTATAGCTACCTCCATGTTTATAGCTACCTCCATGTTTTATAGCTACCTCCATGTTTTATAGCTACCTCCATGTTTTATAGCTACCACCATGTTTTATAGGAACCTCCATGTTTTATAGCTACCGACATGTTTATAGCTACCACCATGTTTTATAGCTACCACCATGTTTTAGCTACCTCCATGTTTTATAGCTACCTCCATGTTTTATAGCTACCTCCATGTTTTATAGCTACCTCCATGTTTTATAGCTACCGCCATGTTTTATAGCTACCGCCATGTTTTATAGCTACCTCTATGTTTTATAGCTACCTCTATGTTTTATAGCTACCACCATGTTTTATAGCTACCACCATGTTTTATAGCGACCTACATGTTTTATAGCTACCTCCATGTTTTATAGCTACCACCATGTTTTATAGCTACCTCCATGTTTTATAGCTACCACCATGTTTTATAGCTACCACCATGTTTAGCTACCTCCATGTTTTATAGCTACCTCTATGTTTTATAGCTACCTCCATGTTTTATAGCTACCTCTATGTTTTATAGCTACCTCCATATTTTATAGCTACCACCATGTTTTATAGCTACCACCATGTTTTATAGCGACCTACATGTTTTATAGCTACCTCTGTTTTATAGCTACCTCCATGTTTTATAGCTACCGCTATGTTTTATAGCTACCACCATGTTTTATAGCTACCACCATGTTTAGCTACCACCATGTTTAGCTACCACCATGTTTTATAGTCTCCTGAGTGGTGCAGTGGTCTAAGGCACTGCATCGCAGTGCTAACTGTGCCACTAGATCCTGGTTCGAATTCAGGCTCTGTCGCAGCCGGCCGTGACCGGGAGACTCATGGGCGGCGCAGCGCTGTCTCAATTGGCCCAGCGTTGTCCAGGGTAGGGGAGGGAATGGCCGGCAGGGATGTAGCTCAGTTGATAGAGCATGGCGTTTGCAACGCCAGGGTTGTGGGTTCGATTCCCACGGGGGGCCAGTATTAAAAAAATATGTATTCACTAACTGTAAGTCGGTTGGATTCCTCCATGAACCTCATCAAATAAATACAGTGCATATTTTAACAGCTATTCGATTGTGATCAAAGTGTCTGCGAAATGACTTTCTTTTTTGATTTCTATTAAATAAATAAAGGGTAGTTCCATACAAGTGGTACTACAGCATGTGTGCAATAGGATTGCTCAAAGATTGCCATCTTTGCTTGGGTTGCCAGATTGGTTTAATTTGTTGAATTAGATCTCAATTTTGCTTGCTGTCTTTGCCTGATTTGTTCAGGTAATTGAATTCCGTCTTCCTCTCTCTCGGTGTGTCTTTCCCCAGGCAGGAGATCGAAGCCTACATCAGGGCCAAGTACGTGGACCGGCGTTTCGTGCAGCGCCTGTCCAATGAAGAGTTGCGCTCCAAGGTGGTATCACTGTCCAAGCAGGAGAAGAGGCTGAGCAGCAGCACGGAACACCTGCCCCCCCGGCCGCCCCCGTCCACGCCCAAACTCCGTCCCGCCTCCAACGCCTCAGGTCAGTCCGGTAGGTGTGAACCCGTCCCAGATCCAGTTTCTTGAAGGTGCGCTCTGGAGCTCTTCCTCCTCTGTTTGGTAGTATTACGAATGAATGTACACTGTGTAGGCTAACTATACATAAACATGGTTCTAACCATGCAAATTCACCAAAAATGCCAATCATAGCGCCTGTTCCTGTTCCGTTTTGATTTTACACTTGCACAAAAAACCTCCCACTCAGTCCTTCAAAACAAACAAGCAGTAGGGCCTGTTACTGTTGACCAGGAATACAGTACAAGCTACGGAGAGTGCCTTTTTTAAAACAGAATTGCGCTACTGCTCAGGACACACAACGGAAGGCACCCTCTCTCTCCCATCTTCTCTCTCGCTTTGTCTCTCTCTTTTCGTTGTAGCCTAGCCTGTAGTCTAACAGCTGTGCTCCTCTCCTCTCCTCTCCTCTCCTCTCCTCTCCTCTCCTCTCCTCTCCTCTCCTCTCCTCTCCTCTCCATCCCCCTCTTCTCCACCCTCCTCCGGCTGCTTTGTGCTTCTGGACTAACCCCATTCCCCTCGCTGCTTTTTATTCCTTCCTACCCCTCCATCTCGTGCCCTTTGCTCTCTGACCCCATCCACTGCCCTTGCCTAGCTGCAGCCAAGGGCTTGGAGGCGCGCCGCGACTCTCTCTTCTGTCCCGACGAGCTTGACTCGCTCTTCTTCTACTTTGACACCTCTGCCAAGCTCAGGAGCAGTAAGTATAGCTCTGTGTGTTTTGCTCTCCACCTCCTTTCCTCCCTCCCTCCTTCCCTCCTCCTGTCCTTCCCTCCTTCCCTCCATCCATCTGTACTCACCGCTCTGGCTGTAGACTAATACCCATTCCACACCCCTCATCTTGCAACATGAGCCGTGCCGTCATGTTGAGGGTGTCGGTGCGGAGCGTACCATGTGTTCCTCTCAGGTGACTCATCACGTGGTTGTGGTCAGTGTCTTGTCTATGGGTTTCATCTGTCTTATTGTGGCTGTGGGGTCAGCTGGGTGGTGCGGTGACTAACCACTTGGTTGAAGTTGGTGAATGTGTGTGCGCTGGTGTGTAGTGACTGAGGGATTGACTGTTTGGTCCCCCGCAGTAAGAAGTGCAGACAGTGGTATCCAGAACAGTGCTGATGGGAGTAGAGAGATGCTGGCCAAGAACCCCTCCACCAACAACCTGGCTGAAGCAGGTGATTCACTCTCACTCACTCACTCACTCACTCACTCACTCACTCACTCACTCACTCACTCACTCACTCACTCACTCACTCACTCACTCACTCACTCACTCACTCACTCACTCACTCACACACACACACACACACACACACACACACACACACACACACACTAGGGCTGTGATGACATTTTGGATGATTGTTATTGGTCAGCCAAATGATTGCATTCACTGTTATAATCGTTTTAATAGCGCACAAAAAATACTTAAAATAACAACAAAATATTAAACGGTTTTGATCCATAATCGTCAGTTACACGATTATACAGTAATTGTGCCAGCCCTAACACGCCCACACACACGCACCCAATGAGTCTCACTCCTATCCAGCTTATATTCAAATAAAGTTATTCAATAACCCCACACACGAGAACGCATTGAAACTACAACTACCTTACTTCAATTCCTATATTTAGATATCCACCGGATTGCCCCCCCTCTCTCCCTCCACCCAGAAGCTGCCGAGGCGCCCCCCATGGCCATGCCTGCCACCCTGCCCCCTCCATCGCCCTGTAAGGAGCTGGTGGTGTTCACGGAGCCCAAGGAGTACTCCCCGGGGCTGCAGCTGTACTGGGCCTCGCGTGCCCGCAGCCTGCCCGACATGGCCGAGGCCCTGGCGCACGGAGCAGAGGTCAACTGGGTCAACACCGACGATGACAAGAGGACCCCGCTCATCATGGCTGTGCAGGGGGTGAGGATACTTGAGTGTTGTGGACAGGCTTGGGGAGTGTGTGTGTGGATTTGGTCGTGTGTGTGTGTGGATTTGGTCGTGTGTGTGTGTGGATTTGGTCGTGTGTGTGTGTGGATTTGGTCGTGTGTGTGTGTGTGTGGATTTGGTCGTGTGTGTGTGTGTGTGTGGATTTGGTCGTGTGTGTGTGTGGATTTGGTCGTGTGTGTGTGTGGATTTGGTCGTGTGTGTGTGTGTGGATCTGGTCGTGTGTGTGTGTTAAATGGACTGTTCCTTTTCTATTCTTCCAGGGCTCGTTGGTGACCTGTGAGTTCCTGCTCCAGAACGCAGGAAACGTGAACCAGCAGGACGCACTGGGCCGAGGACCCCTCCACCATGCCACCATCCTGGGACACACCGGGTCCGTCCGTCCCCCACACACACCATCTACCACAACCTCCGATCTGTCGTTTAACAGGCCCGTTAAAGACCCCATGACCACGACTGCTCTCATAGATAAGACATTAGAGGCCTGTAGTAAAGCAACTGTAGCATATAGACGATCTCACCTGGCTTAGTAATACACGCCAGACTGTTCTGGTTTAGATTAAAGCCTTTATGGCAAGCCTCGGCTAAGCCTTTTTGTAAATTATATTTCATCGTAATAGACGAGGGTAGTATTTGAGGTTAATTAGTGTTTGAGGTTAATTGTGGTAACCCAAGTTGACAAAGGGGAACTTAGTCTATGATCTTAGTTCATGTTAGGGTATTACAATTGATTGTTTCCTTTTTTATTTTTTTTCTCTCCAATTCAGTCAAGTGTGTTTATTCCTGAAAAGAGGAGCCAATCAGAATGCGGCAGACATTGAAGCGAAAACGCCCCTATCCATGGCGGTGGACGCAGCCAACGCAGACATAGTCACATTGTGAGTGCAAAGCCGTTTGGCCTTTTCTGAATATAATATACTGAACAAAAATATAAACGCAACATGTGAAGTGTTGGTCCGATGTTTCATGAGCTGAAATAAAAGATCCCATACATGTTCCATACGCACAAAAAGCTTATTTCTCTCAATCTGTGCACCAATTTGTTTACATCCCTGTTAGTGAGCATTTTTCCTTTGCCAAGATAATCCATCCACCAGACATGTGTGGCATATCAAGAAGCTGATTATACAGCATGATCATTACACAGGTGCACCTTGTACTGGGGACAATAAAAGGCCATTAAAATGTGCAGTTGTGTCACACAACACATTGCCACAGATGTCAAGTTTTGAGGGAGCGTGCAATTGGCATGCTGACTGCAGGAATGCCCACCAGAGCTGTTGCCAGAGAATGAATGTTCATTTCTCTACCATAAGCCGCCTCCAACATTGAATTTGGCATTACGTCCAACCGGCCTCAAAACCGCAGACCACGTACGTGTATGGCACCGTGTGGGCGAGCGGTTTGCTGATGTCAATGTTGTGAACAGAGTGCCCCATGGTGGCGGTGGGGTTATGGTATGGGCAGGCATAAGCTATGGACAACGAACTCAATTGTATTTTATCAATGACAATTTGAATACACAGAGATACCGTGATGAGATCCTGAGGCCCATTGTCGTGCCATTCATCCAACGCCATCACCTCAAGTTTCATGTTTCTGCATGTATTGTTGTGAATTGTTCGATATTACTGCACTGTTGGAGCTAGGAACACAAGCGTTTCGCTACACCCGCAATAACATCTGCTAAATATGTGTATGCGACCAATAACATTTGATTTGATTATATGATTTGATGATAATGCACGGCCCCATGTCGCAAGGATCTGTACACAATTCCTGGAAGCTGAAAATGTCCCAGTTCTTCCATTGCCTGCATACTCACCAGACATGTCACCCATTGAGCATGTTTGGGATGCTCTGGATATATGTGTATGACAGCGTTTTCCAGTTCCCGCCAATATCCAGCAACTTCGCACAGCCATTGAGGAGGAGTGGGACAACATTCCACAGGCCACAATCAACAGCCTGATCAACTCTATGCAAAGGAGATGTCAAGCCAGTATGAAAATGTATGCACTCACTAACTGTAAGTCGCTCTGGATAAGAGCGTCTGCTAAATGACTAAAATGTAAATGGAATGTGTCGCGCTGCATGAGGCAAATGGTGGTCTCACCATTTTCTGATCCATGCCCCTACAATTTTTTAAAAGATATCTGTGACTAACAGATGCATATCTGTATTCCCAGTCATGTGAAATCCATAGATTAGTGCCTAATGAATTTATTTAAATTGACTGATTTCCTTATATGAACTGTAACTCAGTAAAATCTTTGAAATTGTTGCATGTTGGTTTATATTTTTGTTCAGTATACAGAAATAATAGATACATAAAGTGCATTTACTTTTTATGGTAAAACAATTTGCCTTATATTTGTCAATTGATCTCAAATTCAAAATGGTGGAGTATTGAGGCAACATTTTATTTTACCTTACAACGTCCCAATTCATGTTTTGGGGTACTTTTTACCCCTTTTTCTCCCCAATTTCGTGATATCCAATTGGTAGTTACAGTCTTGTCCCATCGCTGCAACTCCCGTACGGACTCGGGAGAGGCGAAGGTCGAGAGCCATGCGTCCTCCGAAACACGACCCTGCCAAGCCGCACTGCTTCTTGACACACTGCTCGTTTAACCCGGAAGCCAGCCGCACCAATGTGTCGGAGGAAACACCGTACAACTGGCGACCAAAGTCGGCCAAACCCTCCCCTAACCCGGACGACGCTGGGCCAATTGTGCGCCGCCTCATGGGTCTCCCGGTCGCGGCCGGCTGCGACCACAGCCTGGGATCGAACCCGGGTCTACAGTGACACCTCTCGGGAGGCCCTGCTTCTATATGTCGAAAGGTGGGTTGGATAAAGATGACTAAATGAATGTCTCCCCGCTCTCCTTTCCCAGACTGCGATTGGCCAAGATGAACGAGGAGATGCGGGAGGCGGAGGGGCCCTACATGCAGTCAGGTCAATATTCTACCAACAGCCCCACAGAGATGCAATACAGGAAGTGCATGCAGGAGTTCATTTGCCTGCAGCTGGCTGAGCCTTAGAGATCATAGAGCCCCAATACACAGACAGGAGAAGCAACATACCTTTATTAAGCAGGCATTTGGCCCTGCGATGTCCTGTGTTGTTCAATACCCACTTTATTAAGCAGGCATTTGGCCCTGCGATGTCCTGTGTTGTTCAATACCCACTTTATTAAGCAGGCATTTGGCCCTGCGATGTCCTGTGTTCAATATCAGCCAGGTGGTGAGCGAAGCTGCATTTTGTGTTTAGAGAGAGGTGCTAGACTTTTATTTATGTGACCAACCGGGGTCAAAGACAGCCGTAGAGCCATTGTTTTGACTATTGAACAGCTGTGACATAAACAGTCGCTGGTCCTCTGAAGTCATGGCTGTTGTTTCGTCTGTTCCGACTTTTGTCTTTTCCAACTTTCAAACAATAGCCACGTCTTTATTAGCTGTGATGTCGAAGAGCGCTTGCAACAGAGGTTGTCATTATATCGAACAGCAATGGTACGTCAGTCTTGACTAACAGGCAGTAATCCTGACTTTGGAATGCCAGTTTTCACCATCAGGCTGTTGAGTGGCTAGCCGTGTGTTGCCATGCACCAGGTGTGATGAGTAGTGATTATTTACCTGAGGGAATATTTATGCACATTCCTGGGATGCTTATGCAATATTTCAGTGTGTTACATGTTTGGTTTCCACAGTGAGTCTTCACCTCCCCCTTTTTAAAATACCTTTTCTTCCTCTCTTGTTTGAACTGTTTACCGTTACAATGATGAAGTATCAATCTTGGTACATGTTATGTAGGCATTTTACTTTTGTGGGGGAAGACATATTTTTGAAAACAGTTGCTTTTTTAAAAATAACAATTGGAACCATATAATCGTAAGATGTCATTGTAAATGATGTGTTGTACATAAATATACATACATTTCTATATCATATACAGTATAAGCAGAATAGGAAGTAAAGTTGAGGGAGATTCTCTGAAGGCGTAAGGCGACTGTGCTTGCATCCTTGTCTTTGTGTGTTTCTGTATTGTGTTGTATTTTCTACACCTGTTTTTAAGAGTATTAAGCTTTGATTGATTGTTAGTCTACCTGGCTACGATATAGAACATTTACCCCCTCTGGGAATCCTGTTCTTTGTCTGACATTTGACATTGAGACCACCCTTAAAGGGATACTTCTGAGACCACCCTTAAAGGGATACTTTGGGATTTTAGCAGAGGCCCATTATCTACTTCCAGAGTCAGATGAACTTGTGGACACCATTTTTTATGTCTCTGTGTCCAGTATGAAGGAAGTTGGGAGGTAGTTTTGCAAGCCAATGCTTACTAGCGTTAGTGCAATGACTGGAAGTCTATGGTTATCTGCTAGCATGCGAAGTATTCCTTTTAATGTTAGCTGAGACTGGTAAGGGTGTGAATTTTAAGTTTAGACAAGGGATATCAAGGTGGTAGAGGGTACCAAAAAGGAAGGACAATAGTATAGAAAAGTATCTACAGCATTTTACCACATAGTTATATAATTAACTTAAACCTATTGGATAAAAAAAAAAAAAAAAGAAGACTTTCTCTAAGAATGTGAATATAGGACAGCGTGAAGCTCACTCAAGTATTGTTGGTAAATAATGAATGAAATGTACCCCTCTTCATCCTTTATGCTTTCATCTTCTCCATCGCGCAGTCTGTGCCCCTGGAAATGCGCCTGGGCCTGATGGGTAATTTAAATGGGCACAAAAAGCACTTTTTATAGTTACTGACGTATCAAAGCTGTTTCTAGAAGTCCATACAAGCCAAGATGCCCCCTAGTGCTTCCTGGGTATCGGTGTTACATGACACTGGCTATGTGGCCAAAGGGGATGGATATCAGCTGAAAGAGAACACGCTGGCCCAATCCCAAATCGACCCCTACACCCTGTGCACTTGTGAAGATCTGAGAGGATTTGATTGGTGTAAGCAATATGCTAAACATAGGATTTGGGATTGGGCCAGAGACTCCATGTCTCCAGTTAGCCATCTTACTGTATGTTGAGCCAGTTGGACAGTTCAGAGGCAAGACATTGGTTGTTCATATTATGTCAATGGTGATGGACCATGGAGACCAGCCAATGGTGATGCACGGAGGAGATTTGGATATCAGTTTAAATATAGAGATTTTAATGATTGACGAATAGTGCTGTTCCTGAAAAGTCTTGTCTAAGGCTAGTTTGTAATAGGTCTGACAGGGTGAGGAAACAACTAGTTTATAGTGGGTCTGACAGGGTGAGGAAACAACTAGTTTATAGTGGGTCTGACAGGGTGAGGAAACAACTAGTTTATAGCGGGTCTGACAGGGTGAGGAAACAACTAGTTTATAGTGGGTCTGACAGGGTGAGGAAACAACTAGTTTATAGCGGGTCTGACAGGGTGAGGAAACAACTAGTTTATAGTGGGTCTGACAGTGAGGAAACAACTAGTTTATAGTGGGTCTGACAGTGAGGAAACAACTAGTTTATAGTGGGTCTGACAGGGTGAGGAAACAACTAGTTTATAGTGGGTCTGACAGGGTGAGGAAACAACTAGTTTATAGTGGGTCTGACAGTGAGGAAACAACTAGTTTATAGTGGGTCTGACAGTGAGGAAACAACTAGTTTATAGTGGGTCTGACAGTGAGGAAACAACTAGTTTATAGTGGGTCTGATAGGGTGAGGAAACAACTAGTTTATAGCGGGTCTGACAGGGTGAGGAAACAACTAGTTTGTAGTCGGTCTGATAGGGTGGAGGGAAACAACTAGTTTGTAGTGGGGTCTGACAGTGAGGGAAACAACTAGTTTATAGTGGGTCTGACAGGGTGAGGAAACAACTAGTTTTATAGTGGGTCTGACAGTGAGGAAACAACTAGTTTATAGTGGGTCTGACAGTGAGGAAACAACTAGTTTATAGTGGGTCTGACAGGGTGAGGAGGAAACAACTAGTTTATAGTGGGTCTGACAGGGTGAGGAAACAACTAGTTTATAGCGGGTCTGACAGGGTGAGGAAACAACTAGTTTATAGTGGGTCTGACAGTGAGGAAACAACTAGTTTATAGTGGGTCTGACAGTGAGAAACAACTAGTTTATAGTGGTCTGACAGTGAGGAACAACTAGTTTATAGTGGGTCTGACAGGGTGAGGAAACAACTAGTTTATAGCGGGTCTGACAGGGTGAGGAAACAACTAGTTATAGTGGGTCTGACAGTGAGGAAAACAACTAGTTTATAGTGGGTCTGACAGTGAGGAAACAACTAGTTTATAGTGGGTCTGACAGTGAGGAAACACTAGTTTATAGCGGGTCTGACAGGGTGAGGAAACAACTAGTTTGTAGTGGGTCTGATATAGGGGAGGAAACAACTAGTTTGTAGTGGGTTGACAGTGAGGAAACAACTAGTTATTAGTGGGTCTGGACAGGGTGAGGAAACAACTAATTTATAGTGGGTCTGACAGGGTGAGAGAAACAACTAGTTTATAGTGGGTCTGACAGTGAGGAAACAACTAGTTTATAGTGGGTCTGACGTGAGAAACAACTAGTTTATAGGTGGTCTGACAGTGAGGAAACAACTAGTTTATAGTGGGTCTGACAGTGAGGAAACAACTAGTTTATAGCGGGTCTGACAGGGTGAGGAAACAACTAGTTTGTAGTGGGTCTGATAGGGTGAGGAAACAACTAGTTTGTAGTGGGTCTGACAGTGAGGAAACAACTAGTTTATAGTGGGTCTGACAGGGTGAGGAAACAACTAGTTTATAGTGGGTCTGACAGTGAGGAAACAACTAGTTTATGTGGGTCTGACAGTGAGGAAACAACTAGTTTATAGTGGGTCTGACAGTGAGGAAACAACTAGTTTATAGTGTGGTCTGACAGGGTGAGGAAAAACTAGTTTATAGCGGGTCTGACAGGGTAGAGGAAACAACTAGTTTATAGTGGGTCTGACAGTGAGGAAACAACTAGTTTATAGTGGGTCTGGACAGTGAGAGGAAACAACTAGTTTATAGTGGGTCTGACAGTGAGGAAACAACTAGTTTATAGCGGGTCTGACAGGGTGAGGAAACAACTAGTTTGTAGGGGGTCTACAGGGTGAGGAAACAACTAGTTTATAGTGGGTCTGACAGTGAGGAAACAACTAGTTTATAGTGGGTCTGCCCATTGAGGAAACACTTGTTTATAGGGTCTGACAGGGTGAGGAAACATATTTATAGTGGGTCTGACAGGTAGTGAAACAACTTTTTAGTAAGTCTGACAGATGAGGAAACACTAGTTTATATGGTCTGACAGTGAGGAACAACTAGTTTATGTGGTCTGTACAGAGAGGAAACAACAGTTTTTAGTGGGTCTGATAGGTATAACAACGGAGTTTAAGCGGGTCTGACAGGGAGGAAACAACTAGTTTGTAGTCGGTAAGGCGATAGGTGAGAACACTAGTTTGTAGTGGGTTCTGACATTGGGAACACTAGTTATATGGGTCTGACAGGTGTAGAAACAACTAGTTTGATGTTGGGTCTGACAGTGAGGAACAACTAGTTATAGGTCTGACGGAGGAACAACTATTTATCCCGGTCTGACAGGTGGAACAACTAGTTTTAGTGTCTGACAGGAATGAGAAACAACCTTTATAGGGTCTGACGGGTGAGGAACAACTAGTTGATAGTGGGTCTTGACATGAGGAAACACTAGTTATATGGGTCGACATGAGGAAACAACTATTTATAGTGGTCTACAGTGGAACACTAGTTTATAGTGGAGTCGACAGGGTGAGGAAACAATGTTTATAGCGTTAGTGCAGGGTGAGGAAAACTAGGTTTATCTGGGTCTGACAGTGACGAAACACTATTTAAGTGGTCTGACAGTGAGGAACAATGTTTATATGGGTTACGTGGGAACAACTAGTTTATGCAAGGTCTGACAAGGTGGTAGAGGAACCAACTAGTTGTAGTGGGTCTGATAGGTGAGGAACAACAGTATTGTAGATGGGTCCTGACAGTGAGTAAACAACTATTAATAGTGGTCACAGGGTGAGAAACAAAAAAAACTTTTTAAGTGTGAATCTGACAGGGTGAGGACACAACTATGTTGTATAGTGGTTGACAGGAGGAACAACTTAGTTTATAGTGGTTACAGTGAGAAACAATAGTTTCATCGGGTCTGCCCCTGAGGAAAGCAACTGTTATAGTGGTCTGACAGTGAGGAAACACTATTTTAATGGGCGACAGGTAGGAAACACACTTTTATAGCGGTTGACAGGGTGAGTAACAAAGTTTGTTGGTCTGAAGGCAGAAACCACAGTTGTAGTGGTCTGACAGTGGGTACACACTAGTTTATGTGGTCGACAGGGGAGGAAACAACTAGTATCTAGTGGCCGTCCCATCGCCCCTACACCCTGTGCATGGGAAAACTAGGTTTATAGTGGTCTGACATGAGGAAACAATAGTTTAGGGTGGTCTACAGGGATGGGCCAGAACAACTATGTCTAGGGTCGACAGTGGGAAACACTAGTTTATATGTGTTGACAGTGAGGAACAACAGTTTATAGGGGTCTAAGACAGTGAGTGAACAACTATTCAATGTGGTCTGACAGGGAGAACCACAATGTTATAGCGGGTCTGACGAGTGGAATCAGTTTAATAGTGAGAGTTTTAAGGATGTGATGTGTGAAAGTCTAAGGCTAGTTGTAATAGGTCTGACAGTGAGAGGAAACAACTAGTTATAGTGGGTCTGACAGGGTGAGGAAAACAACTAGTTTATAGTGGGTCTGACAGGTGGGGGAAACAACTAGTTTATAGTGGGTCTGACGGGTGAGGGAAACAACTAGTTTATAGTGGGTCTGACAGGGAGGAAACAACTAGTTTATATGGGTCTGACAGGTGAGAAACAACTAGTTTATAGTGGGTCTGACAGTGAGGAAACAACTAGTTTATAGTGGGTCTGACAGGGTGAGGAAACAACTAGTTTATAGTGGGTCTGACAGGGTGAGGAACAATCGTTAGTTAGTGGGTTGGGGGGGACTTAGTTTTATAGGTGGGGTCTGACAAGGGTGAGGAACGACTAGTTTATAGTTGGGGTCTGACAGGGTGAGGGGAAGGAGGGAAGGAAAACAATAGTGTTATAGTGGGTCTGGACAGTGGTGAGGACACTAACTAGTTTTATAAGTGGGTCTGACAGGGTGAGGGAAACAACAGTTTATAGTGGGTCTGACAGGGTGAGGAAACAACTAGTTTATAGTGGGTCTGACAGGGTGAGGAAACGACTTGTGCAATTACCTCTTGTGGCCACTGGAGAGAGTGCTAGATTTAGAAATCCCCCAATTCACTCTGAGTGAGTGGAATATACAGAGGGATAACTGTTGCGTTTGAGAGGGAGTCTTGCCCATTCACCCTATGAATGGCACACATACACAATCCATGTCTCAATTGTCTCAAGGCTTAAAAATCCTTCTTTAACCTGTCTCCTCCCCTTCATCTACACTGATTTGAAGTGAATTTAACAAGTCACATCAATAAGGGATCATAGCTTTCACCTGGTCAGTGTGTCTTGGAAAGAGCATGATTTTGTATACTCCGTGTAGATTCAGTCAATGACCATAGATTCTTGGACCTGTAACGAGAAGGATACTTGATTGAATACGACTGTTCATGTACCATTTTCTGTCATGATTTAAATCCAATGTGAGCGATATTTGTTATTACCTTGAAGTCAACAGCAGACGGTCGTAGTAGTGGGGATACAGTAGTGTTGTCTACAAAGACAATGTTTTACACTTTGTTAGTGTACGAATGTGTTGTAGAGATGGGATCCAATTGAAGTGTAGGACGACACTGTTTTGTCAAGCTCTCTGCTCAGTTACTTGTTGGTCTTATTGTCTCTCCCTCTCTCATTGCTTGTCTCTCTACATCTCTCTCATTGCTTGTCTCTCTCCCTCTCTCATTGCTTGTCTCTCCCTCTCTCATTGCTTGTCTCTCTCCCTCTCTCATTGCTTGTCTCTCTCCCTCTCTCATTGCTTGTCTCTCTCCGCTCTCTCATTGCTTGTCTCTCTCCCTCTCTCATTGCTTGTCTCTCTCCCCTCTCTCATGCTTGTCTCTCTCCTCTCTCATTGCTTTCTCTCTACATCTCTCATTGCTTGTCTCTCTCATCTCTCTCATTGCTTGTCTCTCTACATCTCTCTCATTGCTTGTCTCTCTACATCTCTCTCATTGCTTGTCTCTCTACATCTCTCTCATTGCTTGTCTCTCTACATCTCTCTCATTGCTTGTCTCTCTACATCTCTCATTGCTTGTCTCTCTACCCTCTCTCATTGCTTGTCTCTCTCCCTCTCTCATTGCTTGTCTCTCTCCCTCTCTCATTGCTTGTCTCTCTCCTCTCTCATTGCTTGTCTCTCTCCCTCTCTCATTGCTTGTCTCTCTCCCTCTCTCATTGCTTGTCTCTCTCCCTCTCATTGCTTGTCTCTCTCCCGCTCTCTCATTGCTTGTCTCTCTCACGCTCTCTCATTGCTTGTCTCTCTTCTCATGCTTGTCTCTCTATCTCTCATGCTTGTCTTCTACATCTCTCTCATTGCTTGTCTCTCTCCTACTCTCTCCTCTCATTGCTTGTCTCTCTACACTCTTCATTGCTTTTGCTCTTCTACCCTCATCTCTCTCTCTATTGCTTGTTCTCTACATCTCTCTCATTGCTTGTCTCTCTACATCTCTCTCATTGCTTGTCTCTCTACATCTCTCTCATTGCTTGTCTCTCTCCCTCTCTCATTGCTTGTCTCTCTACATCTCTCTCATTGCTTGTCTCTCTCCCTCTCTCATTGCTTGCTCTCCCTTCTCATTTTTCCCTCTCATTGTTGTCTCTCTACATCTCTTCATTGCTTGTCTCTCTCCTCTCTCTTGCTTACTCATCCTTATGCTGTCTCTCTCCCTCTCTCATTGCTTGTCTCTACATCTCTCACGTTTCTCTCATTGCTTGTCTCTCTCCCTCTCATCATTGCTTGTCCTCTCTTGTGTCTCTCCCCTCTCTCATTGCTTGCTCTCTCTCTCATTGCTTGTCTCTCTCCCCTCTCATTGCTTGTCTCTCTCCCTCTCATTGCTCTTGCTCTCTCCCTCTCATTGCTGTCCTCCTCCTCTCATTGCTTGTCTCTTCCATCTCTCTCATTGCTTGTCTCTCTCCCTCTCTCATTGCTTGTCTCTCTCCCTCTCTCATTTCTTGTCTCTCTCCCTCTCATCATTGCTTGTCTCTCTCCCCATCTCTCATTGCTTGTCTCTCTACAATCGCTCTCATTGCTTGTTCTCTACATCTCTCTCATTGCTTGTCTCTCTAACATCTCTCTCATTGCTTGTCCTCTCTACATCTCTCTCATTGCTTGTCTCTCTACATCTCTCTCATTGCTTGTCTCTCTCCCTCTCTCATTGCTTGTCTCTCTCCCTCTCTCATTGCTTGTCTCTCTCCCTCTCTCATTGCTTGTCTCTCTCCCTCTCTCATTGCTTGTCTCTCTACATCTCTCTCATTGCTTGTCTCTCTACATCTCTCTCATTGCTTGTCTCTCTACATCTCTCTCATTGCTTGTCTCTCTACATCTCTCTCATTGCTTGTCTCTCTCCCTCTCTCATTGCTTGTCTCTCTCTCTGTCTAACATCACTTTGTTCTATACTGTTTCTCTCTCTCTCCCCGGAGTTTGTGCCTTTCCTCTGTTTTCATGTTTCTTTGGGGTGCTGAGGCCAACACAGCTGTATTTTTGTACATAAACCCTGCACTTTAAATACAATACAGTTGGTATCAAAACTCATCTTGTGGGCTTCTTTCTTTCCACATCACAATTCACTGCAAAGAAAGGGCTCCTTGCCTTAGTACTGTTTTAGACCTGCACACTCCTCAAACATTGGTGCTTCCTCTTTCATTCTGACACCTCTTCCTCTGCATAATGCTGTTTCTCCACTGCGCCGCAGTGATGCTTTAAGGTATGGCCAACTTTCTATATTTCTTTCACTCGCTCTTCAAACTTTTCATGTGGCAATAAAAAAAAAAAAACATCTTATCTTACCTGTGTTATGTGCATGCGTGTCTGTGACAAAAGTCTGAGCTCTCGAAAGCCTTCGTTTTGCAGGCTTGCATTTTATTATACAATACCAACTTGTTTTCTTCTCTAAGTCTCTGCTAGTGTCTCTGCTAGTATCACTCCTAGTGTATCTGAGTTGTACTTACACTGTAATGGTTTACTTTGTCCTTGCAGGAGACGAAACCTACCAAGACATTTTCCAGGATTTTTCCCAGATGGCTTCAAACGATCCGGAGAAGCTGAACCGCTACCAGCAGTACGACTCGCAGCAGAGGCCATGAGGGAGGGAGACGACCTGGAAGTCTGGGAAACGGTCTGGGGTTTTTCCTGGTCAGTGTAGTGCTCAGCACCAATATTGGAGCGTCTGTTTCACCAGGACCTCAATGCCGACGGCATCTGTCGTATATCACTTTCTATTGGTTTTAATGGTCTAGAATTTTACATCTAAAGTAAAACATTTATACATTTCATTGAGGCTGGAGAGCTGTGAACTTAAACAATGGTTTATGGGACTCTGGACTGGAGCCCAGTTTGTAATACAGTTCACATTAGGACCTGAATGGTACAGTGTTATGGTTTTTACATAATGTGACAGTTTGGTTCAAAACATAACCATAAACAAAATCAAGTCAAGTCATAATTGTCTATTCTGAATGCATGTAAACCAAATAGACCACTCATCGTACCTTTTGAAGTTTAGTATGCTTTTTACAAGTAGATAATGTTTTTACTATATAGAATAATCTGAATTTATTTGTGCTATCAATTTGCTAAAATCATCCCATTTCAATGTGTTGTCTTGTTGTTGGTCCATAAGCAGCTTTTTGCGATTTTGGCTATGGTAACTTGTTTTATATAGCATTGGTCTGTTGTATATTAAAATGCAAATCAGACTCATTATGTCAAGATGTTAAAAATGAAGGTTAATGTTAATGGTCAACCCCCAGGTAGTTGTCATATCCTGCCACCTTAATTATTTGCACAAAGTCCCACTTTTCCTCGTCAACACTGTTAAACAACGTTTGTATGGGGAAACTTTGACGTGTGAGTTAATGTACAGTTGGTGTAGAGTGTACATTTTGCTGAAGTATAGGTTTGTCACTCTTCCGTTAATGTTGAAAAGCCCTTAATGTGGCTCATGCTTAGATGTTGATAGTGGGTATTTTGGTGTTTAAATTTTTTTGATGAGGCAATACTTTTGTTTTGTGTGATTTTTAGGGGTATAAATGAAATGGTCAGATTCTCCATGTTTGACACCAGGCTAGTTCTTTGTTTGTGAAGGGGGTAATCATATTTTTATTTTTTTGTATAACTTTTTTTTGAGTGAGGAAGACGAGCCTTATGTTGTTTTGGAGTATTTCATATTCAATCTTATTTTAGACGGGAAACAATGACTGTTAAAAGGAGAACAGATTGCATGTTAGGCTCTTTCTGTACATGCATGTTAGGCCCTTTCTGTACATGCATGTTTGAATTTAGGTCCCCATATTGTAGCGTCTGCCTTTTCTGACATGTCTCACTATTTTATTTCAAACATCCTGTTCATTGGATGGCAAAAAACGACTTTACTTCTATAAAAATATACCTTGTTTATTAGTATAGCAGTGTATTAGACACACTAACAAGCATGTCCCACCTGACTGGATACATACTACTGTGGCACTGCATTGCAATTACAATATGAGGAGCTCTCTTAAGCCCTGGTTATACCTGCTGCTAACATGTGCCCTTTGTCTTGATCTTGTCCACATTCTGATTGTGTCCACATTTTTAGATCGGTGTAGACGATTAAAGCGACTGATTGTGATCAGATCCTCCTTACTACTTCTGGAGGTGGTCTGGAACGTATTGTATCTGGATATCTAACAAGTGTAAACAGATCTGGATTATCAAACCATTTAAATCGTCCCTCATCATTCACAGGGGGGCACCATTTGACTAAAGGCATCAATATTTAGTGATTGACAGATAGTGATTGTGATCTGATCAAGCTGATTCAAAAATCACATGTAAATGGAAGGGTTAACTAGGGATTTACTTTTCTTGATTTTTATTTGACTCTCACCTGTAAACTCTACCCACTGACCTGTCACCAAGCTGTTTTTTTATCTACACCGGTCTAAAAATGTGGGCAGGATCAGGACAGACGACATGTTAGCACCAGGTATAAACGGGGCTATTCTTAAATACAACATGGGATACAGATCTTGTACAGCTTTTGAATATGCTTAAGAAGTTAAATCTAAAGTATAGTACTTGAATCATTAAATAAGCTCTTGTAAATGCTGATAAATAAAATTGTCTGCCTATACCACTCAGATTATCCATGTAATTAAGGACTATTACATTTACTGCAAATCATGGACTGAATTCCTTGCAGAATGTTGAACTGTTTGCGTTGTCGTATTGATTTTATGAAGCAATTTTTCGTTCTGATTGTCTGTTTATTACTGTAATTGTTGTTGAAATTAAATTAATTAAAAGGGATACTTCAGGAACTTAGGCAATGATACCATTTTTGTCTGCATCCAGTATGAAGGAAGTTAGAGGTAGTTTCGCGAGCCAATGCTAACTAGCGTTAGCCGCAATGACTGGAAGTCTATGGCATCTACTAGGATGCTAGCAGTTACCATAGACTTCGTCATTGCGCTAACCCTAGTTAACAACTTCCTTCAAACTGCATGCAGAGACATAAATGGAATCCACGAGTTCATCTGACTCTGGGAAGGCAGATAAAGGGCTTCATTACCAAAGTCCTGAAGTATCCCTTTAAAGGGCTTTACTCTTATACACAAAATGTTGCTTGGCTTCCATATTAAATATCCTGTCCTCATTTCATCCCTGAAGCATAGATGTTATCGGATCCTTCTGAGAAATGTTGCCCCCTCTTCCATGCAGAGTGCTTACCTCATGAAGGATTGCTGTTTCTACTTCATGGAAGTCTGGCAAATATACTGAACAAAAATGTAAACGCAACATGCAACAATTTCAACGATTTTACTGAGTTACAGTTCATAGAAGGAAATCAGTCTATTGAAATAAATTCATTAGGCCCTAATCTATGGATTTCACATCTGGTCAGGGGCGCAGCCATGGGTGGGCCTTGGAGGGCGCAGGCCCACCCAATGGGGAGCCAGGCCCAGCCAATCGGAATTATTTTTTCCCCACAAAAGGGGTTTATTACAGACTGAAATACTCCTCATCAATCATTCAACCAAAATGTATCGTCAGCATTTAACCTGTTGTGGAAATTCTACACAGGGATACTCTAAGTCAAACTGAAATGAATAATTCTTTATTAACAGCATGCTGGAGAGGTCACAGTCAAACTTAGATGCATAAAGTACCGGTCTGAAGTGAGCTTTTCTGGGGCAGTCCCGTTAGTTCTCTTATATACTGCAGACAAGTTATATTTGCATGATTTAACTTGTTCATCATTCATAATTAATTCATCATTAACGTTTGCTTCATTCATCTGACAGACCAATACCTCACGAGGCTTCTTCTCTCTAAGCTGAGACATCTTACGTTCTCAAAACAAGGGTCTGGGCGTATGGCCAAATTACAGATACTGATAGTGAGGATTCGTTCAATCAGTCACTTGCATGAACACAGAAATTGGTTATTAGAAAAGCACAAACATAAAATGTTCCAGCACAAATCCAACCCCTCTGAATCAGAGAGGTGTGGGGGGCTGTCTTAATCGACCTCCACGTCATCGGCGCACAGGGAGCAGTTGTTGTAGGGGGTTATCTGCCTTGCTTAAGGGCAGAACGTCAGATTTTTCCTCCTTGCCGGCTCAGGGATTCAAACCAGCAGTTATGTGACCATGTTTCAAAGCATTGTCCTGGGCCACCACAATACTCCTACCCTGGTCACATAACTGCAATTGGCAATGGAAAACATCTGCCGTGTATGCCTGAATCTGCTATTTAAGATCCTATAGACTCGGACTCAGCCTGTACCTGTCGAGGTCCAGACTGGTCGTGGTGGTAAGGCCCCAACTGTCCAGTCTGTACCCAGCCACAGGGCCTGGATCCTGGGCTTTTTTCTGGGAAGTCTGTGGTGGGCTCCCCTGCAGAGAGGCGGAGGGCCGCTGCTGGAGACGTTTCCCCTCCATAAAAGCGCAAACGCAAAGAGGCCAAGCTCCATTAATGTCACTCGCCGCAACGTCCAAGGGTCTCGGTACACTGAGCCTGCCAGGACTACATCTAATTCCCCCTCCAGGGACTACATCTATCCCAGAGACTGAAAGGACGTGCCCACCCCTTTTCATTTGACAGTGGCTGGTATAGATCTGAGGACCTCAAAACTGATGGGTCCCAAAAAATCTTCAACAAGTGTAGAGGGGCTAGGTTACTATATTTATACCTCCCAGTAAACAGAAGTGATCAATTAACCACCTTATTAAATGACAACGATCCAGACAACAGTATTGTATCGTGGTGTCTGTTTAATACGGCCTTAGGAACAGTCCTCTAGTTATGTTATTAGTTTTTTTTTTATAATGATATTGTAATCATATACAACACTGCAGACACCTTACTTTTGCTCTTAAAAACATGCAAGAAAGGAAGATCCTAAGCCATCAGGAGAACGCCGACAGTCGCAAGACAAGGTAATAACTTTATCTACTGGAAAAAGAGGCTGAGACTGAGGCCACATAGACAATGGCTTGGCAGGATACAACCGTTCCTCCCTCTCAGACCTTGATGCATCCACCTCATTAGCGGTAGCGGGTAGTTTTGGCATCGCCTCTAACTCTCCAGTCCCACAGCTCAGCGAGCTAACGGCACTAAGCGGGTAGACTGCTCAGGAGTTCACTCTGAAAGAATGGCTAGGGTTTCATATTTTGGAACTACTTGTGCAGGGAATCCAAACAGTCCTGCCTGTATTTTCTAAACGCTGATGATGAATGGATGGCCAGGATGAATAGGTGCAGTGTTACGGGCATTCTTTCACACCGTAAATCCTCCGTCCTCCTCCACACACCCAGACAATAAGGGGGGGGTATGTGTAACATATGTGTAACATACTATACCATCCTTCCACCCCCCCTCCCCTCTCTCTTACTTGCTACTTCATGCTGTTTGTCTCCAGCCCTGGTTCCCAGAAAGGTCTAGCCCTGTAGCCCCTCCTTTAGAGGATACCTAGCGGGCGCCCCGGAGGCCTGTCCTCCACACCCCGGTGAGCAGCCAGCGGTCAGCCTTTCCAGCGGGACGCCCCGTCTAGGAAAATGAAGTCCTCACCATCACAGGTCTGGCCTTCAGCTGTTCAGAGGGCCACAGAACGCCCCTCTCTGCCAGGTGTGAGGAACCCAAGCTGGAGAGAGTGAAGGATGGCTAGTCTAGCCCTAGGGACATCCCTCCTTTGGGTCAATTAGCTTTGACCATTCAACTTTTATGGAAGTATATATGATATTATGGCTTCCGTACTTCTGTAAGATTTGGAATTCAAGCTTCAGGCTTGTTGTCCGAGGGGGCCACAGTACCCAAACTACTGGCGAAAAGCAAGTGGATAAATGGCAGTATGCACTGTAGTCGGGGCTTGTCCCCGGGGGTTCAGGGTTCAGGGTTCAAAGCATTACATAACCCTTCAGCCAATGTTTAGATATCAGTTCCCGTTAACAGCCTTTGGACTGTGGTCACAGGGCAGGGCAAGGTTGGCTAAACACAACGCATGTGGCGCTAACTGATGGAACTCTCTGCGCCGCCTAGTCTGCTCTAAGGGGTGTGGAAGGCGGGGGCGGGGGGGGGAGATAACCTCCGGTGGTAACCCTGCCATAGCTATTACACAACCCAGTTCACCCAGACAGTCTCTCTAATTCTGTCCTTGAGCTGTTCTTGTCTATTAATGTTCTGTATTATGTCATGTTTTGTGTGGACCCCAGGAAAAGTAGCTGCTGCTTTCGCAATAGCTATTGGGGATCCTAATAAAATACCCATATACAGCCTCTCATCTTCCACACTAGCCTTGGTGGTTGTGCCAGCCATCCGAGAGCTGAAACCCAATATGTCTGTGAGGTCGAAAGAAGAGGACATTTGAGGCATTTGTTTCAGCAGTCGCAGAAGCTTTGAGAGTCCAAAAACCTTGCTGAACAGAACCTAACCACCTGCAAAAGCAACAGGGCTCCTGTTGCGGCGGGTGACTGGAATCAAACATACAGTTAGCCATTCATGTAAACACGAGAAAGCTAGCTCGCGTGAGCGCAGCTACTCTTGTGATGCAAACTAGACTGTCATGCCTTGGGTACAGTATTTCTCTGCGATGTACTATAGACATTATTTTTTATATAGACAAACGTGTTGTCCACCCTCCAACGCAAACGTAATGGATTAAGGAAGGGTTCTGAACTCAGCTGCACTAGTTGATTGTAACTGGGGGAAAGGAAGGACACATGGCTCAATTTGGTATTTTTGAAAAGAACATTTGTCAAGTACTTTAGAAGAAATGACAATGGAGGAATGCAAACAAACCACAGCATATTCATCATATCACGACACAATAGATCATATCTTCATATTTCTCTAGACGATGGGAGGTCTGACTGATGTATCCTGCCCTTTAGTTTTCAGAGATACTAGGATTTTGGACATCAGCCAAGATCCACAACATCCCACCCGTTAGATCTCAAGTCTCATTGAGAGGAGTCAAAACAGTCTGCCCTGTCCAGAGTCCCATGGACCGCCTGCATGTCACTCGCTGGCCTATAAATCAAGCGAACATGCTGGGGCCTTGACCCTGCCTTCAGCCCCATAGCCACCCCCTCCTCTCCGATG